TAGTATTCGTTTGACTTTGTTTTACATAAAAAGTGTCCATTAAAATGAAATTTTTTTTTTTTTACCATTGGTTATGACATTTGTTTTCATTACCAAAAAAAAAAGTCAGAATTGATTTTCCCACCTAAAAGGTGGGAAAATCTTTTCCCCTCACGCCTAGAAATGAGCGCGTGAGGGGAAAATAATTCAATCATTTGCCATGGAATTTTTTGTCTTTCAAACACCTACAATTGGCTTTACCTAGAAAATATTTTCATTTTCCATGCATTTTCCATCCTATCAAACACACCCTTAGTTCAAATGAACCGTGTATAGGAAAATGCTACCAAAATTTTCACAGAATACACTAACAGTTTTCGACTGGACATTGTAAAAAAATAACAAAAGAAAAGAAAAAAAAAAGACACTGCCATAACATCTGATGAAATTCTGACAGTAATGCTTCTGTACAAACAGATAAATTCTAAAATGAATTGTAACATTTTCTTTTGGATTTGACAAGCGATCACTTCACCTCTTTTGTCTTATACGCATTTTGTTGGGAAAATGGATAAAAAACATAATTCAACAATTACATAAACATAAGAAGAATATAATAATATAAACACTATAATTCAACAATAAGAATAAAGTTAGAATGCAAGCTTTAGGGAGTCATGTAAAAACGATGTCCTAAAGTCGGGTTGTCTTTCTTTCATGTTGACACTTTCGACACTATACGGTTTCAAAATAAAATCCATGTGGCTCACAGCAAATTCTTCTATGGGTACTATCATAGGGATATAAAAAACGAATCTTTTATCGAATTACCAAAACTATATTATGTCACTGTTTGAGTTATATTAAAATTTTCATTTTCATTCTTCAATAAAATAGTATTTTCCATCACATTAATAACTTTTCCTTTTTTTTCAGCCACACATTCTCCATCAATCTACTATTTCAAAATAATGTGGCTCGAATACAATATAGAATGTATATAGGATATTCTTTCAAATTGTGTTTTTCTCATCTTGCATCAAACAGTGAAATCACCACTCATTTTATAGGGACAAATATAACCCCACATTAAGGAAAATAAATCCAATTTTAGTATAAGTTATAATCCATTAATCATCAGTTTTAATTTTGTATTAAAACGTAAATTAAAATAGAAGACTGAAATGTAAAATTACCTTTAATTTTGAAATTTAAAACGTATTAACATTTATGTTACAACACATTTATTGTCGTCGGTGGTTTAGCTGCAAGTGAACATGGTTAGATTTTACGGTCACGTTCTTATCAATGTTATAAGTTAGATAGATAAGAGAATAAGTTCCAATTCAATCTAGTAATAGATAATATATCACAAATTTTATAAATTCGATAAAATAGTTTCAAGCACTGAGAATTAAAATAAAATCTATGACCACTGAGGGTCGAAAAATAATCAACCTAAGGTTAGTGGTGATCGAATTGACTATACAAAC